ATCTGCAGTCCTCCTCTTTTAGGGTAACCCTACTCTCTCATACAAAGGGAATAACCAGAAATTGGGCAAAGATTTTTTAAAGGGAGGTTCATCATTGAAAAGGGAGGTTTATCATTGAAAGATTTTGCAGTCAACATAAATGTGCATGATAAGGGATTTGTTAAATAAACTGTGGTACATCTATATGATCTATTCTGAAGTCATTAAATATGTTAATACATTTAAATATCATGTTCAATATATTTGTATCAATATGGGAAATGTTCCCTATATGAAGTGTGTGTTGGGGGGTATGGTATGAAATTAAACATACAAAATTATTTCAACTATTTGTAAATGTTTACTGTATTTTCTAGGCAGTGAGGTTATGGATGATTAGTTTCTTTTATATATGAGTATTTTTCTATGCTTTCCAAATTTTCCATTATGGGCATGTAATTAGTTTTATAAAAGAGTAGGGAGGAAAACAGCAGCAGATAAATAGGGGACAAAGAAGAATGTGTTTGTCTGGGTAGACTAGAGAAAAATATCTAGGGAGACTCCCATATGTGTATAAGAAAGAGGTTTATATACAAAAGCAGTTGAATATTGAGAAAACAGCCCAGCCCAGTTCAGATCAAGTCCATAGTCCAATATTAGCCCATATGTCCGATACCAATCTATAACGTTCTCTTCAGACTCACGAAACACACGCAATGATGCTGATTGCAGGATGATCACAGGCCAGTAGGTAGAAAGTCTTTGGATCCAGCGGCATTGTAAACTCAGCACTGGCAGGAGTCTCCATGTGGCTTTTCTAGTTCCCAGGGCATGGGGTCTATCTATCAGCGAAGTAACATCTGTCTTTTCAGTAGAGTGGCTTTCAGGGAGTGAGTCAAGAAAGTGAAGTGTCTCCTGTCTCCAAGGAGGAAAACACAGCAGTTCTCAGAATTCTCAGGAGAAGGCCATGCCTACACAGAGGTCTCATTGGCTATCTCTGGATTGACAGGCTGAACTCCACCCCTACATTCTTAATCCTCCAATTATGTAACTACCACAAAGAATTAAGAAAGTGTCTTGTAGTTTTGTTTTGTTTTGTTTTTTAAATTATTTTATTGGGGCTCATACAACTCTTATCACAATCCACACATACATCAATTGTGTAAAGCACACTTATA